TTCCACTTTCCAGCTACGTGATGAGGGTTCTGAGAGCGCAATACAAACAAGGGAGAAACAGTGATAGAGTGACATCTTGCGCACGGAGTTGTTTCGTGGGGAGGGGGTTATATGGAGTAGATTGTAAAAATGATTATAAAATGATTTGCGTCTTATTCAATACTATTTTAGATAACTTTGGAGGAAGATTACTTCGGGCTTGTCTGTCATCTGTCAGGGTTAACCCGGGCTGAGCGACATATATACATCGAGAGACACACAGACATACTCAGCGACTCTGAAGAAAAAAATGCACCCCTCTTATATATATATATATATATATATATATATATATATATATATATATATATATATATATATATAGAGAGAGAGAGAGAGAGAGAGAGAGAGAGAGAGAGAGAGAGAGAGAGAGAGAGAGAGAGAGAGAGAGAGAGAGAAAGAAAAAGAGAGAAAAAAAGAGAGAGAGAGAGAGGGAGATTAATTAAGGGAGCAGGAAAAGTGTGTGCGTGTGAGTGAGGGGGGTGGGGGTGGGAGGAGACAACTATGTACGCATATCTGAACTAATTCTTTACTTTATTCAACCTGAAACATGGGGAGTACAAAACTGACTGGCCCCGGGCAACTGTTACTGCCCAACGTTGCCACAATCTAAGACGGTCTTGTATGCATGTAAAGTAGCTCCCCTCACAGAGAGCGTGCACTGTCTGGAGTAAGGATCTGCCTGTCATTGAAGGCTCGTTAGATCGGGCCAGGATCTCGGAGATTCAAAACCAGGCCGGCTGATCCGGGGAGATTGTGTTTAGACAGAAGGGGTAAAGACCCTCTTTGTGGTGCGCTTATGACCCCAACCCCCCACTCCCCGTCACCCCAAACCACAAACAAACAAACAAAAAGGAGCCAATCTCACTAATGCTATAGGCCAAATGAGTTGGTGAGCGAGCTAGAGAGAGATAAAGAGAGAGAGAGAGAAAGAGAGAGAGAGAGAGAGAGAGAGAGAGAGAGAGAGAGAGTGAGCAAGGGAGAGAGAGAGTTGGAGTGAGAGTGACAGAGATAGTGACAGAGATAGTGGCGGAGATAGTGAGTGAAAGAGAGAGAGAGAGAGAGAGAGAGAGAGAGAGAGAGAGAGAGAGAGAGAGAGAGAGAGAGAGAGAGAAATAGAGGAAGCTAGGGAGAGAGAGAGTTGGAGTGAGAGTGACAGAGATAGTGACAGAGATAGTGAGAGAGAGAGAGAAAGAGAGAGAGAGAGAGAGATAAAGAGAGAGAGAGAGAGAGAGAGAGAGAGAGAGAGAGAGAGAGAGAGAAATAGAGGACGCTTGGGAGAGAGAGAGAGTTGGAGTGAGAGTGACAGTGATAGTGCAAGAGATAGTGAGTCAGAGAGAGAGACAGAGAGAGAGATAGTGAGTCAGAGAGAGAGAGATAGTGAGTCAGAGAGAGAGAGAGAGAGAGAGAGAGAGAGAGAGAGAGAGAGAGAGAGAGAGAGAGAGAGAGAGAGAGAGAGAGAGAGAGAGAGAGAGAGAGAGAGAGAGAGAATTTTCAGGGGAAAAGGGTTCCGGGGTGCGGTCGGTTGGAAAGCCTTGTAAAAGTTACTGCAGTAAAGACGGTAATTAAAAACGTGAAAATAAATAATGTCTACAGCTCATAGAACTTGAATAAAGTAAGTTTGAGAGAAAATCAAATATCCATATACCCCTACCCCCTAGGCACAAACAAAACAAATCACATCACCCCAACGGGTAATGGAAAAAGCGAAAAGAAAAAACGAAATTAAAAATTAGTTTACTTTGTATTACAACTAAAACTTTTAAACTCAAAGGCAATTGTTGAACCAAATGGTTGTAAATACGAAGGCCTTTTCTAGCCTCAATGCATGCCATGTTTGTCGTGAGCGTTTAGCGAGTGTACCTGGAGGTAAGGCAAGATCTTGCAGAGAGCAGGGCCCAGCACCCACTGGCCAAAGGCCACGAACAGGATCTCCGTGGTCATCGTACACACACATACAGTCAGGTCGCCTATAGCCAGGTGAATTATGAAGATGTTCACACGACTGTTCCTCTTACGATACCTGAAACAGTGATTTTTATTAGGTGTGAGTTCTAGATCTACTTGTACTTCAAAACTAACCGTAAGTTAATAATAATAATAATAATAAATAGCATTTGTATAGCGCATATCCCCGCTCAACAGCAGGCTCTATGCACTTTACACTATATTATTACCCCAGCAGACCATAGAACACTCCGAAACATTCTCAGCTTCCCGGGAAGCATACAGTGCAAGCAGCTGATTAAGTGCTCAAACACTAACAAACTGACAAGATCTTTCACTGTCTATAGCCGGGTACCCATTCCCACGTGGGTGAAGTGAGGAAAATTCGTGTTAAGTGCCTTTCCCAAGGACACAACGTCGGGCCCCTGACGGGATTCGAACCCACGACCTTACGGTTGCGAGTCCGAGAGCCTAACCACTAGGCCACCGACGCCACGTAGATCAGAACAATCATAATAATAAGCTTAATAATAATCTTAAAAATAATAATGATGATATTAATAATAATAACAATAATAATATTAATAATATTACTAATAATAATGATAAC